GGATTGATACAAATCTAAATAAAAACCAATTTGAATAGATTGGACAGTTCAGATATTGAATTGGGCCAGTCCAAAATGGTCCAAAACATTCATTGGATTAGATCGGACTTGATCCATTTGTACTGGACTCATATTGGGCCAAATCCGGTCCAATTGGCACCCCTACCTATGATATGAGGAGATCCAACCTTAACTTTCTCTCATAGTTAATGATCTCATCATACTCAAGGTCTCAGCCCAGAAAGACAACCAGTCTTCATCCAAACATCTTTCTCCAAGCTTAGATGAAGTGCAAGTTATGACCCCTTTGGCTTGCATCCTCTCTGCTATCTTGTCACCATTATCCAGAATGCATGAAAATCCACCTACTGCTGTATACAAATAAAACCAGACTCAGCTTTATTAGAACTTTTTAACTTAAGAAATTCATCTATGCTCCCTTTGGGTAGATTATAAATACAAATATGTTCAATGCAAATACAAAAGGATTCTATGTGTAGGAACTGTGCGTATTTATTTTTGCACTGAACATATTTGTATTTGCACTCTTCCCAAATGAAGCCTAAACCATAGTTGGCGTCAGAAGGAAGATCCTTAGAGAGCCTTGAGTCCAAACCTCCTAAGAGCAAAACTGGTTATTCCTTGTTCAGCTGCAAAGAAAAAGAAATATGCATCGTCATTCTCCCCTATCACATTGGGGCCTAGAAGAAACAATTTTCACCAGAAAGAGGAAGACAAGGGAAGAACTTCTTAGCTAATAAAACAAAGTTGACAAGATTGGAAGAAATCAGCCAACCAAAAAGCATGGAGATAGGCATTAATTTGACCACAAGACCATCGAATTGTTAGAGGATGTCTTTTCATTTGTCTCATGTACAGAGTACAAGGTTGAAACCTGCCAGCTAGGGTTGTAATAAATCCAACAAGATTTGAATACTTTGGATTCAAATTAATCGATTTAGACCGAATTCAGATTTAATACAACTCTACTTTAATCATCTATTTACATTAGTCTTCTCTTTGGTACTTAACTTTTACTTTAGTTTCCTCTCATAAAGATCAATCAAATGCAAATTTTCTTTTCAATATTAGAATTTTAGATTAATTCATTTAATAGTTTAATTAATTAGCATCTTCATGTTTTGTTTTTTAAATTTCAATAATTGATAAGGAACGGATCAATCCTAAGTTCCTAACCCAAATGTTTAGGATCAGGGCCTAGCCTTCATTGACCTTATCGAAATCTTGACCTGACCTAGAATTAACCCGAAAATTCCTCAACCCAATCTGATTGCCAGGTCTAGGGTTGACAGGTTGGGGCAATTTTTTGCCGTTATAATATAATCAAATCAAATCCAAATTAATATGTCATCCAAATCCAAAATAATTAGAAACCAAACCACCCTGTAGGGTCTGTAATTTTAGTCTCATAACTGAATCAATCAGCTCATGGGCAATCCATGGACCCAATTACAATTGTATATATGACTCGGTTGTGGGTTCGGGTCTGAGTCGATTACTGGTTCCAAAACCAATAATCATAAGGACAATTTATCAAGAACTGGAACCGGCCCATCAACACTGGATCCTGGAACCAGAACCAACCCAACTGGCTCGAGTCCATCAGGTTGGACCCGACACATTAACCTTCCCAACCCCAATGCAGCTATGGACTTTGGGGGCAGTATGGATTTGCAAATTATTTTCCAAACAGGTCCACTATTGCCAGGAGGCCCAAGACTAACATACTATTGGATTGGACCTAATGTGTTTGCAATGGATTTATACTTTGGACCAGTCCAAAATCGTTCAAAAGTATTCATCTGATTGGGATTGGACCTGATCTGTCGGTAATGGACTCATATTGGACCGGATTTCGTCAAATTGAACCCAAATCCGATCCATTTGACACCCCAAGGAGGCAAAGACCAATTAGAGTGAAAATTCAGAAGCTTCTTGAGCAAACCAAAAATGTTCCGTTGCCGGGAATTCAGAAGCTTCTTGAGCAAACCAAAAATGTTCCGTTGCCGGGACTCGAACCCGGGTCTCTCGGGTGAGAGCCGAGTATCCTAACCAACTAGACTACAACGGATCAATGCAAGATCCATGATAAGAATATTCTCAATATGTCTGTTATAGGAGCAATTCCACACGACTGTACCAATGGAAGAGTTTTCGTGAAGAACAATTTAACAATACAGCTACAAGGTTTTGAGTAATAATCCAGCGTAAATACATACAAAATACAAGATTTTGCACTCTATAAATTTCTATTTCTACACCTTCCAAACTGAGCCAGGGAAAATAGAACGAACTTGAAGGTATTAAAAATACAAGTCATGGTGCTGGTGAAAACATACTGCTTAGGCATCAAAATGTTACGGTTACCAATGGATATTGCATTTGAGAAATAAGCCTTTTTGGATCAGACTTCAGAAATGGGCACGCAAATTCAAAATTGCTTTCCCTCCAATACAAAAATTACCTCTAAATTTTGCAAATAAATCAGAGGCATAGTTTTAAGTTGCGTGTCTAAACTAACTTATAAACCCAGTAGCTTCTTTGATCATCTGCATATGTATGTATCTATAGCACTTAGAAGAAATATTTGGGAGGTATTTCCCTGAGTGCTTGAAAGGGCTAAGAATCCATGTTGAAATCAGTCGAATTAAAACATTTTACGCAAGCTGCATTTCTGTAATTCGTTGGGACAACTTTTGATTGGAATCAGGTGGTTCAAATTAAATCAAAAGATGGATTACCGGCAATCACTCAGTGTCACAGTCTCACAGACGTCCACTCTCTTAAATTTAGGAAAGCTTTTTCGCTTGATTGAATTAAGATCACCCTCTCCATAATTTCCTGTCATCGCATATTATGTTATTCATCTTCATCTTATGTTAAACCCAACAGATCAAATCTGCATGTTAGTTTGGGCAGCCCAGTGCATAATGCTCCCGCCAATACAAGATTGGGGAGGGACAGATGTATGCAGCCTTATCCTTGTACATAAAGATATGCATGTATGTTCTTCAATGAAATGCCTTCTGTTGATTAATTGATATTCAAACATCAAATTTGTATGGTTTTTAAAACCGGATTAGACTAAACGGTTGGACCAAAAAAACCAGGAACTGATCAGGTGATCGGTTCGGTTTTATCCCAAACCATTATTTTGTCAAAAAAATGTTGATTTGGTCAGTAAACCGCTGACCTAGGTGATCGCACTGTTTGAACCGTTTAGCGGTTTTGATTGTTATTGTTTTTTTTCTTAAGTTTTTTGCCGGAATGGACCGTCTGTTCAGTTCGAATGATCAGACCGTTCGACCCAGGAACCGGATCCCTGACCGGTTCATCGTCCGATTCAGTTTTAAAAGCCTTGCAAAATTGACAGATGTATGATGCCAGAAAGTTGCTAATATCATTTCTTGAGAAAACAAAGAGATGTTTAGCGTGCAAGGGAAGAGGGAGTGGGCAGTTTGAAGAAGTTACTAAATGAAGAAGGCACACGACTATCAATGATGAATCTGGATTTGCTCCTCACAGCACATGCAGCCACATATATTTGGAACATCTCCCAATTTATAAATTATATTTTATGAGAAGATATTCCCAATGCACGGTTGCAACATGCCATAAGGTTGGTGTGAGGCATGTTCTCTGAGAAATAAATCCAATTTAATCAGTCATATCATAGGAACGGGATCTGCTCCTCACACATGGGCATCTCACAAGTACGTCCATCGTGCATTGGGGATAGACTTGTTCATGGGCTGGGCCGGGCTTTTACTCTTCATTAATGAAAATTTGTTAGGCCCGAGCCCGAGCCCGGCCTGACCAACGGGCCTACAACTTGGGCCCGAGCCGACCTTGATAAACAGCCCGAAGCCCGATTGTGTTCGCCGGAACTGAGTTCGTGGTGATTGTGGTCTATGAGCTGCGACCTACGATTTTAAGTTTAACAGTGATCAATTCGTGTCTGAGAGAGAGAGAGAGAGAGAGAGAGAGAGAGAGAACTCACTACCGATGCCTATATTTGCCACCTCGTCGTCGCCGGTGTTTGAGATTTGAGAAGAGGAACGAGAGAGAGAAAGAAAGAGAGAGAAAGAGAGAGAGAGAGAGAGAGAGAGAGAGAGAGAGAAGGAGAGGAGTGAGGACTCACCATCGGAGTTGTTGCGCCGGTGAACGTTCTTCGTCTCGCCAATTGTGTGGCTACCTGAGAGTGTGAGGATGAGAACTATGGAGGATGTGGAGAAGAATGGTTCGACTGGAAAAATAAGGGAAAGAGGCAAAGAGGTGAAAAAAGATGGGATATTCAACTAGGGTTTTTAGGTTTAATTATAGGTCGGACTGGGCCGGGCTCGGGCCGGGCTATTTTGACAAATCTTGAGCCCAGCTCGAATTTATTGCAGGCTAGGCTTTTTACCCCGAGGTTAAACCCACGGGCCTATATGCGTGTTCAAGCCCGTCCAGGGACTGGGCCGGGCCGGGCCACCCGGCCCATGAACAGGTCTAATTGGGAACATCTCCCGTGTAAGTACGAGAGATGTTCCCAATGCATAGTAGAATATGAGTGTAAGGTCCGAGGCGTCCTGTGTGAGGAGCAGATCCAGTCTCCATATGATACAAGTCTGTGGACATGGTAAGAGCAACATGTATGGGTTCGGGGATGGGCTACCCCTGATGTGTAGCCCCATGGAGCATAAAAAATAAAGAGCAAGATGGCTTTTAATTTCATACCGTGTCTTTTTTTTTTTTTTTTTTTTTGAGCCATGCTTTTTAAGAAAAACAAATTAAAATATTCCGTTGCCGGGACTCGAACCCGGGTCTCTCGGGTGAGAGCCGAGTATCCTCACCAACTAGACTACAACGGATTGATGCGAAATCAGTCAATAAGAATCTCCAAATCTGTCTGTTATAGGAGCAATTCCGAACGACTGCACCATTGGAAGAGTACAAGAAAACTGAATGAACAACAATTTAAGAATACAGCGACAAAATGAGACAGAGAACAAGGTAAAATATTACCTCAACAAAATGGTATTTTATACAAATATACACGTATGAAATATTGATGCAAAGAAAGAAGGAATGAACAAAAAAAATTCTTGACAAAATTCCTCCACAAAGAAATAAAAAAAAAAAAGAACAAAAGGCCTTCGTGTTTATTTTACATGGAATTCTATCTCATTACACATTCTTACATACACAGGCACACAAGCAGGAATGCATGTGTATGTATGAATATGTATTTGCAGAAGATGCTCTTCCAAAATTGGGCTTACAATATAGTTTTCAAAAGGCGGCAAACCGTAATAACTGCAACTTTCTGGCATTCAAAGGACCCAAGGCATAGATAGATGTCATGATTCTCTGATCACAGGATCCTGCATTCAAAAGCTTGTTGCAAAACTTGCAATCTGATACTGTGAAAATCTCAAGAGAAACCTTCCACATTTGAATCATGAAAAAGATCTTATGTGTGTGTGTCATTGCACATGCATTCAGGGATAGGATACTTGGTCACATCCCTTCCCACCTTGCTTGTTCTGAACTCTGGCTGTCCTAGAGAGTCATGGTGCAACTCTTTTATAATCCTGTTGAACTCTGATTCTGGAAGAGAGGAATTTAGAAAGTAAGGGAGCATTTGCCTTTTGTTTGGAGTTATATACTTCTTGTGCCCAGCATAGGCCCTATGCCCCTGCATTAACCATAAACATTTGTTAGAGTCACGAACAATTAAGTAAAAAATACAGAAACTGGGGTAACTTGAAATGCCTAGGATTCTCAAGAAAATGGCAACACCTGAACACAAACAAAGATCAATGGTTTGTGTCAATTCAGCAAACCAACTGTAGCTGAGTCCTTCATGTGCTTGTGACATACTAGTGACTAAACTGTAGTATGATATAGGAATAGGAGGCAGTACCTGAATGGCATGGCCCATATTTCCCCCATGAGATGGCATGAAGACATCACTATTCTCTGAAACAACATAATCAATAGCAGCCAAAACAGAGGCCCTGTCTGCAAATGGCTCCAATTCACCCGGCAAGGCAAGGTCATTCTTATTGTAGAAATAAGGAAATTCTCTGGTTAAAGGCAGTAATGCTTCTTCGCCGCCGAAGGGAGGCCCTCCTGCCCAATATATCCTTGTATCCCATGGAGCTCCAAGTGCCTTAAGCAGCCTAAATCATGCAGGGAAGAGAGAATTAAGTTTAACATGAGCAATATAATAACAACTAGAAATTCAAAAGAGAGGTTTTCACTTTCCAATCAGTACCTCATGACTTCTAAGGCATTCAACGGGCAGAACCCAGCAAGCTTGCGATCATGGTAAGTCATGTTTGATCTTCCTGTGAGGAGTTCCGGCCTTAACTTTCTCTCATTGTTGATGATCTCATCATACTCAAGTCTCAGCCCAGGAAGACAACCAGTCCTCACCCAAACATCTTTCTCCAAGCGTAGATGAAGAGCAAGGTACGACCCCTTGGCGCGCATCCGCTCTGCTATCTTATCACCAATTTCCAGAATAGGTGGGGCAAACCTCAATGCATGAAAAGCAACCTAATGCAGTATACAAATAGAACCAGACTCAGTTTTAGTTGGTGATTTTTCGATTACAGTTTTCACCTACAAGAAACAAAACATATATATTGAAGTGCAAGTTAATTCCAATTAAGATTTACAAAAGAAAGTTGACAGGAAATCAAGGAGCTTCCCTGCAATTTATGCAAAGCAAGTCAAGAAATCAGTAAGACCAAGCACATAACTACCTTGCACCGAAGCTTCTGAAGGTCAGAAGGAAGATCCTTAGAGAGCCTCGAGTCCAGACCTCGCAAGAGCAGAACTCCCTCCTTGTTCAGCTGCAGAACAAAGGATATATGCATCATTCTCTCTGTCACATGGGGCTCAAAAAAAAAACAATTTTCACCAGAAAGTTGATAAGAGAAAAAAAGAGGACAGTAGTCTGGTTTCTTTGGAAATCCAATCTCATGAATTGATCAGGGAGCAATGAAACAATTAACAAAAGTAACAATCAGAAACCCTTCTGAAAAGACCATTCACTTGGACTGTTAAAAATCGTTCAATGAGTATGAGTTTCAGTTTATTGCAATATTGTATATTCAGCAATTCAATGTTCAAAGATCACCTGAATCTGTATAATGAGGATTAAATATAAAAAGAAGAAATTCAACTGTAACTAATATTTCTTGAGATTTGGCCAACTTAGGAGCTACCAATTATCAGACCAGCAACTTCACAGATTTCAAACTACTGTTGAACCCACAATCAAGTTCAAGTAACTAATAAGAAACGCATGCATTATGAATAAGAACAGAGAAATAGCTCCCAGGGAGGATATTCAAATCAACAACCAGAAGCTACAAATAATTGAATCGAAAAAAAGATAATGAATGGTTCTGACTTCTGAGTTCTTGGTTCTTACCCTCTTGAGGTAGCGTTGACGAATCCATTGAGGGGTGACATGAAGTGGAGTCCGCTTCTCCTCCACTGGTCTTGACATCAGATGCGTCGACGGCAGCGATGAAACAATCCGCACGTCATTAGCAAGAACTTTCTTGAAATGCTCCAAATCAAATATATCAGAAAACTCACTGCAACCACCAAGACAAAATCTAAAGAAAATCAGCAACTCAATTGGTCTCTCTTCTGTAACACAGAACGCATCATCAATTTATTTTTATTTGAATCAACAAAAGCTTATAGGGATTTTTTTCGTCTTAAAATTTGAACTAAGTACTAATCCTTCTTTCGTCTTTATTTTTGTCTTGTTTTTCTTGATCTCTCTCTTTATTTATTGCCTCTATCTCTGTTCATGAGCTTATCCTTACCTTTCATCTCCCCAGATGACGTTGACTTGCAAGATTGGAACCACCAAGGCTGCTCCAAGAATCCGAGCGATGACAACGGCATCAACAATCTGATTCCTCTGCTGATTCACCCCACCTGAAACCACAACCATCATATACCTCCTCCGGTTCTGCACAATCGCTTCGCTCGACCTTAGATACTCGTCGCTGAAATCCAGACACGGCCGGTAACCCAACCCGTCCGGCTGCTTCCAGAACTCCGTCTCCTCACCATCCTCCGCTTCCACGCCGGCGTTCTCACCATTTGCCCCAAGACCCATCTGTACAACTGGCTCCTTTTTCGGGAATAGCGTCTGCACCTGGCCAATCAAGCACGGGTTGTGCGAGAAAGGCAACAATGGGTCGAGATTGAAGCCCAACCTCAACATTCCGAACAGAGAAAAAAGAAACAGAACGGAAAGCCAGAATCTTGGCCTCCTCGAGGTGTTGAAAAACCAGTTGGCATTCCTGGACGGCTTCTTGGGCGAGAGAAGAAGAGACTGAAGAGATGAAGACGAGAGAGAGTGGATTATCTGAGACGGGACCGAGATGTAAGAGAGCTTCTGCTTGTTGTTCTTCAACTTTGCCATCACAGCCATCAGAGAGACCCCCCTTCAGAGCCTCTCTGTTTCTGTTCTTCGTTTTCTTTCTCTGTACTCTAGAGCTAGACCAGAGAGAGAGAGAAGAGAAAGAGAATTTAATACAAAATGTTACAGATTTACACGCGGCGAGAGCGCGAAATGCCTGTGATCAAATCAATCAGCTTTAACGAAGGTTAATGAAGAAGAGGATAGCAGTTTTGGAATTTGGATGGATTAACAAATCCCACTGGCCGAGGCCAACTCCCCATTCTTATAAGTTAATTGAACGTTTAATATTTTTAAATAATTTTCACCAAACACCCTTAATTTATCTCCAATTACTCACGAAGCCCTTCCAACAGAACCCCAACTCATAACCAACTGTCGATTGATCTTGACCATTCAATAAGTGGACCACCGGAATCCAACGGCTGAAGGTACAAACTAGTTTTATGAAAATAGAAGGTAAAATAATGGAGGGTGGTTTGTTTGTTTTTTTCTTTTCTTTTTGTTTGAATGAAAAATGATGGAAAAATCAAAAACAATGAGTATCGTGTCGTGTTGTGAGAGTGCCAGCTGGTCCACTGGCGGAAGGACATAAGACCACGTGACACTGCCGCCGTTGCACTTACCATTTCTCCGACACGCTGGTCGATAGGCGATAGCTCGACTCCCAATAATTATAAAACTCCAGCCCCTTTTTTGCCAGCTGGTTCCTACTTAGGACACAGGCTTTACAGTCCACGTGTCGGAAAAAGGTTGCTTTATTAGCTGCCACGTTGGTGTGACAGGACGTTTATCCAATCCAAGACTAGGGGGCCCCACACCTAAAAGACTACTGCTGGTCCCTTTTGGTTTCCGAGGTGGCGAGATGGTCTCAGGATTTCAAATTTCAAACTGTGGCGACCCATATGGGTCACGACCCGATGGATTGGGATTCGTTTGGTTTTGTATTTTCCTGTCCATAGAAAACTGAAAAATCGAAAAATCGAACGGAATTGACTAATTGAGGAAACTGAACCAAAAAATTTGATTAACCAAACTGCCGTTTGGTTTCGGTTCAGTGTTTTGCAAAAATCAATGGTATCAGTTCGATTTTTAATTAACCTAAAAGAAAATTGAGAGTTAATCGAATTGAATAGTATATGAGAAACTACAGTCGAAGGGAGATGAGAAATTACTGTCGAAAGAAGATCTTTCTTTCTATTCTTGTTCCAGCAAACGATTACTGGGAATTTATATACAGAATAGAGTTCGGCTCACCATTAGGAATGTAATTATAGTCTCCTAAAAGAATAATGAAAAACAAAAGAAAGAACAACTAAAACATACAAGAGATAAGGATAAGGTTTACAGAGGATAAGGTGATTCTAAGATAAGGCTCGCTTGTTGGCTTAATATATAAATTAAATAAATTGTATATTGCATATATTTTGGTAATATTTATAATATAATATATTATACAGTTGCATATTTTTTATAATATACATTAAAAATATATAAAAATCAAGAAACCAATGAACCAAACCAACCAATTAGCTAACCTATTGGTTTCAACATGGTTTTAGTTCCTGATTTTTCAAAAACCAATGGTACCAGTTTTGTTTTAAAAATTAGATCATGATTCGATTAATTAAACCGAGAGCACCCTTAACTTTAATTAAAACTGGTAATGGGTCAGGTTTAATTTGGTAGAGGATGGACCAATCCTGAAATTATTATTAACCCGTTCTATGAAATAAATCCAGCATTTAACCAATTATTAATCAGGATAGGTGCGTCTGACTCGATTAAAACTGATTGTACATAACATCTATAGTTACTACTTTGGAACTTCACTTTTGATAATATAAATAAAAATGACAGTAAATAATAAATTGTTTATATATTGATAAAACTGTAACATCAAACAACAAATGCGAACCAATAATATGTGATTAGTTGAATCTTGATTTAATCAGAGCCAACATATTTGGTTCGATTTTGATTGAGTTAAGCCAACCACTTGAAGATACTGTGGTTAAACCAAAGTGGGTTGGCAGATTTTGGATAATTAGATGGTTTAATCAGTTAAACCATGAAATCCACCTCTAACTATGAACCAAATCTTTATGAATCCGAACTGACCCACTGGGGCATCTGGGAACCCGAATTAGAATAAGTTTGAAAATGGTCTTAACTCAAAAGTCGTTAAGTAATAAGGTGAGTCATTGACCTCTTGTTTCCTTTTTCCTGTGAGCACAAGTCAGTCATATTCAATTAAATGAAACAACCTGGCAAGTTATGGGACTGTGACTAACACGGAACCATGACCGCACAAGTTCGCTACTTCCATTGAAGTGATTAAGTTGATTGGGAAACGAAATTCAAGCCTTTATAATACAATGTTGCTTACTTGTCCATCACTAAAGATGCTCGGAGTAAATGGACAACCAACTCCATCAATTGATTTGTCCCTTGTTTGGATGGTTCTAGCTATTGGTAATGGGCGTTTAATTCATTCATGCAATCAAGACAGACCAATGGGGATGTCAGTCTGGTGCAATTCGGGTTGGCCCAAATTAATATTTTACACTTTTTTGGATTCGGGTCTTTGGATCAGATCCCTTCAAATTTTGGTAAAAGATTAACCTAAGCCCGCCTAAGTTACATTCCTTCATATCAGTGGGTCAAGTTAAATGATATATCTACACCGGTCCAACTTAATTTAGTTAAGGTTGGATTGGCCTTAATTTGTGTTGGCATTTTGGATCTATCCAACTTTATTGAATTAGGGCCGGGTTGGCTTCAAATTTGGGTAGGGTTTGTGTTGAGGTGAATTCCTGCTAAATGGACAGGTTGGCTTTAAATAGGGGGGAAGCCAAGAATATTAATGGGGCTTCTTTTCAAATTTTTTTTTGTTAAAAGTTAAAACCATTATTTATATATATGATTATTAATGTTAAGTTTGGTTTGAAGGAAAAAGTAGGGAAAAGAAGAAAAATGTAGGAAAACTTATATTTTCCTTCTTTTCCTTATATTTTCCTTTCCATTAAATCAAACACAGCTTAAGTGAAAACAGGGTAAAAAAAAAAAACTTATAAATCAGCATTAGGTGTTTCATCAAAGGTTCTTCAATATGTTTTCATTATTATAACTTGGAGCCAGACCCATCCTTTTTTAGAATGACTGCAATTGCTTACGAAAATAATGTCTGAAATGCCGTGATAGGGTGAGGTAGGGAGGGGAGGGGAGAGGGGGGGGGGGTCTAATTGAAAATTTTATCAAATAGGAAGAGTCGAGATAGGAGAGGAATTATTTCTCTAGCTATATTTGGAAACGATGCAAATAAATGTGAGTGCAAATATGTAGAATATAATCGGCTCATTGTAAAGTTGGGTTAATTTTGCACTGATATATTTACTTAACTGTAATGGATGCAAACACGAATCCCAATAAAATATATGACTTTTTTTTTATTTCAATGCAAATTTATTTATTTTTTTATTAATGTACTTTTACATCTTATTATCAATGTAAATATGCATTGATTTGTCATTTGTCAAGACAAAAATGTAATGTTGTCAAATACAGGCAAAAGTGAACTAGAATACAAATTTACCCTGAACCAGGATTTATACACTATTTGCATAGTTTTCAAACACAGCCTCTAGAATGCTACATCAATGGAATAGCAATGCCAGAAAATGGAATCTCAGGAGAAACAACGGCATATCAGAATTTTAGAGAAATTTACTAATCTTGAAAATCCTTTGATTTTGGATTTATGTGGGAATCTTTTCTCCAAGATCCAAATTCATTTGAAGTGGGCCCCACTCATTATCTTGTAGTGAATAATGGGCACGGTATCTCTCTGTCATCTTGTTTGAATATGTCACTAAAGTGGATTCCACTATTTTGAAAATTTAAAGATTTATCAAAGATAAAAGAGACTTTTTAATAATTCCATTAGACATAACTTTGATAGGGGAGGACTTACTCCAATTAAAAAAAAAAAAAACAAAAAGAGGAGGTTTCAGTATTTATAAGAAATATTAGGGGAGATTTAAGCCTTTTACCCTAAAATATACCATTGCAATACCTAAAAATTATCAATTTATTGTTTATTATTAGCATTTCATCAATTATCTGTATCACCTAATAAACAGTGGTGCCGGAATTGCAATGAAAAGAGATTATTTTGGCCATTTTCAAATTAAAACTTGAGAGATATTTGTGTTTTTTAATATTACATCTAATCATGGTTTTAAAAAATAACTTGGAAATGGAATAGTTGTGACCACCAGTTTTTGAATCAACGGTTTGATTATTCAGTTTGAATGGATAATCTATTTTGATAACAAAAATTAAAATAATTAAAAACTGTTGAACGGGTTACAGGTTATTGACCGATTTAATGGTTTTTAAATAGGAACCAAGTTTGAGGTAAAACAGAATTAATTACCTGAACAACGGTTTGATTATTCAGTTCGAATGGATAATCCATTTTGATAACAAAAATTAAAATAATTAAAAACTGTTGAACGGGTTACAGGTTATTGACCGATTTAATGGTTTTTAAATAGGAATCAAGTTTGAGGTAAAACAGAATTAATTACCTGAACGATTTTTGGGCTAAACGGTCCGACCGTCCGGATCAACGGCGGTTCGAAAAATATGCATCTAATGTCCTTAACATTTTGGAATAAATTGGCAATATTCGAAAATTCAAATGGTATGAGATAGTACGTTACAAAGTTGAGATACTTGAAACCGGCGCCGAAGTGAGAAGTGAAAACGTGAAATTGTAGGAACTGGGAAGCATTTTGTGGATTACGTTTACGTACCCGTGGAAGTCCAACGAGAAGGACGCAAACAGTGCTATCCTGCGCGGGGTACACAGGTTAGCGTGTACGGGGTACACGCCAATCAGCGCGTCTCGTACAAACTGGCTCTCGCTCTGCACTTAAGTATTTTCTAATTTCTATTGGCCCGAGGAGAGGGAAGTCGTCGTCGTCGTCGTCATTCATGCTGACATGTGGGTCCCACCCCACGTATGTTCGCCTCGTTTCGAATCTCAAGAAACGACAACCTTCCACACCCGATGCACTGTTTTCACTGTTCCCCTCTTCTCTAACCAATCCAATGTTTGATGTTTCCCTTGATCATGAACGGAACGCTTCGCTTCGATTAATTAAATTGAACTCTGTTTTTTTTTTTTGTTTCAAAGCGGCCCTCCTGTTGTTTTGGATTTTTCA